ACTACTACCATCACTACCACCTCCACCACCACCACACTACATCACTACCACCTCCACCACACACTACTACCATCACTACCCCACTCACCACCACCACACACAACTACCATCACTACACCTCCACCACCACCACTACTACCATCACTACCACCTCCCACCACCACACTAACCATCACTACCACCTCCACACCACCACTACTACCATCACTACCACCTCCACCACCACCACTACTACCATCACTACCACCTCCACCACCCCACTACTACCATCACTACCACCTCCCCCACTACCACTACTACCCATCACTACCACCTCCACCACCACCACTACCACTACTACCATCACTACCACCTCCACCACTACCACTACAACCATCACTACCACCTCCACTACCACCACTACCACTACTACCATCACTACCACCTCCAACAACACCACTACTACCATCACTACCACCTCCACCACCATCACTACCACCTCCACCACCACCACTACTACCATCACTACCACCTCCACCACCACACTACTACCATCACTACCACTCCACCATACCACTACTACCATCACTACCACCTCACCACCACCACTACCACTACTACCATCACCACCACCTCCACCACTACCACTACTACCATCACTACCACCTCCACTACCACCACTACCCTACTACCATCACTACCACCTCCACCACAACCACTACTATCATCACTACCACTCCACCACCACCACTACTACCATCACTACCACCTCCACTACCACCACTACCACTACTACCATTACTACCACCTCCACCACTACCACTACTACCATCACTACACCTCCACCACACCACTACCACTATTACCATCACTACCACCTCCACCACCACCACTACCACTACTACCATCACTACCACTAATACCATCACTACCACCTCCACCACCACCACTACCACTATTACCATCACTACCACCTCCACCACCACCACTACCACTACTACCATCACTACCACCTCCACCACCACCACTACCACTACTACCATCACTACCACCTCCACCACATCCACTACCACTACTACCATCACTACCACTACTACCATCTCTACCACCTCCACCACACACCACAACCACTACAACCTCCACTACCACTACTATCATCACTACCACCTCCACCACGACAACTACCACTACTACCATCACTACCACCTCCATCACCACCAATACCACTACTACCATCACTACCACCTCCACCACCACCACTACCACTACTACCATCACTACCACCTCCACCACCACCACTACCACTACTACCATCACTACCACCTTCACCACCACCACTACCACTACTACCATTACTACCACCTCCACACTACCACTACTACCATCACTACCACCACCACCACCACCACTAACTACCATCACTACTACCTCCACCACCACCACTACCACTACTACCATCACTACCACCTCCACACCACCACTACCACTACTACCATCACTACCACCTCCACCACCACCAATACCACTACTACCATCACTACCAATACTACCATCTCTACCAACCTCCACCACAACCACTACCACTACTACCATACACTACCATCCACAACCACCACAACCACTACTACCATCACTAAGACCTCCACCACCACTACACTACTATTATCACTACCACCTCCACCACCACCACTACCACTACTACCATCACTACCACCTCCACCACCACCACTACCGCTACTGCATCACTACCACCTCCACCACCACCACTACCACTGCTACCATCACTACCACCACTCCACTACTGCCATCTGTACCACCTCCACCACCACCACTACCACTACTACCATCACTACCACCTCCACCACCACCACTACCACTTCTATCATCACTACCACCTCCACCACCACCACTACCACTACTGCCATCACTACCACCTCCACCACCACCACTACCATCTCTACCACCTCCACCACCACCACTACCACTACTACCATCACTACCACCTCCACCACCACCACTACAACTACTATCATCACTACCACCTCCACCACCACCACTACCACTACTACCATCACTACCACCTCCACCACCACCACTACCACTACTACCATCACTACCACCACTACCACTACTACCATCACTGCACCTCCACCACCACCACTACTACCATCACTACCACCTCCACCACCACCACTACCACTACTACCATCACTACCACCACTACCACTACTACCATCACTACCATCTCCACCACCACCAACTACCACTACTGCCATCACTACCACCACCACCACTACTACATCACTACCACCTCCACCACCACTACTACCACTACTACCATCACTACCACCTCCACCACCACCACTACCACTACTACCATCACTACCACCTCCACCACCACCACTACCACTACTTACATCACTACCACCTCCACCACCACCACAACCACTACTACCATCACTACCACCTCCACCACCACTACCACTACTACCATCGCTACCACCTCCACCACCACTACTACCACTACTACCATCACTACCACCTCCACCACCACCACTACCACTATTACCATCACTACCACCTCCACCACCACCACTACCACTACTACCATCACTACCACCTCCACCACCACCACAACCACTACTACCATCACTACCACCTCCACCACCACCATTACCACTACTACCATCACTACCACCTCCACCACCACCACTACCACTACTACCATCACTACCACCTCCACCACCACCACTACCACTACTGCCATCACTACCACCTCCACCCCCACCACTACCATCTCTACCACCTCCACCACCACTACTACCATCACTACCACTCCACCACTACCACTACTATCATCACTACCACCTCCACCACCATCACTACCACTACTACCATCACTACCACCTCCACCACCACCACTACCACTACTACCATCACTACCACCACTACCACTACTACCATCACTACCTCCTCCACCACAACCACTACCACTACTACCATCACTACCACCTCCACCACCACCACTACCACTACTAACCATCACTACCACCTCCACCACCACCATACCACTACTACCATCACTACCACCTCCACCTCCACCACCACCACTACCACTACTACCATCACTACCACCTCCACCACCACCACTACCACTACTACCATCACTACCACGTCCACCACCACCACTACCACTACTATCATCAGTACCACCTCCACCACCACCACTACCACTACTACCATCACTACCACCTCCACCACCACCACTACTACTACTACCATCACTACCACCTCCACCACCACCACTACCACTACTACCATCATATCCACCTCCACCACTTACCACTACTACCATCACTACCACCACTACCACTACTACCATCACTACCACCTCCACCACCACTACTACCACTACTACCATCACTACCACCTCCACCACTACCACTACCACTACTACCATCACTGCCACATCCACCACCACCACTACCACTACTACCATCACTACTACCTCCACCACCACCACACCCTACTACCATCACTACCACCTCCACCACCCACCACTACCACTACTACCATCACTACCACCTCCACCACCACCACCACTACCACTACTACCATCACTACCACCTCCACCACCAACCACCACTACTACCATCACTACCACCTCCACTACCACCACTACCACTACTACCATCATATCCACCTCCACACCACCACTACCACTACTACCATCACCACCACCTCCACCACCACCATCAACACCACTACCACTACTACTACCACTACCATCACATCCACCTTCACCACCACTACTACTACTATCACCTCCACCTCCACCACCACCACCACCACCACCACCACCACCACTACAACCACTACATCACCACCACCTCCACCACCACTACCACTACTACCACCACCACCACCACTACTACTATTACCTCCATCACCACCACCACTACCTCTACTAGCATCACATCTACCTCCACCACCACTGCTACCACCACCACCACTACAACTACTGCCATCTAGATCTAGAGAGTGTACAGAGATCCTTTACTGCACGTATAAGTTCTGTCAAGCACCTTAACTACTGGGAACGCTTGGAAGCACTTGACTTGTACTCGTTGGAACGCAGGAGGGAGAGATATATCATAATCTACACTTTGAAAATCTTGGAAGGAATGGTCCCAAATCTGCACACAGAAATCACTCCCTACGAATGTAAAAGACTGGGCAGGCGATGCAAAATGCCCCCAATAAAAAGTAGGGGCGCCATTGGTACACTAAGAGAAAACACCATAAGTGTCCGGGGCCCAAAACTGTTCAACAGCCTCCCATCAAGCATTAGGGGAATTGCCAATAAACCCTGGCTGCCTTGAAGAGAGAGCTGGACAGATACCTAAAGTCAGTGCCGGATCAGCCGGGCTGTGGCTCGTACGTCGGACTGCGTGCGGCCAGCAGTAACAGCCTAGTTGATCGGGCCCTGATCCATCATGAGGCCTGGTCATGGACCGGGCCGCGGGGGCGTTGATCCCCGGAATAACCTCCAGGTAACCTCCAGGTATCACTTTCACCTCCACCAGCACTATGACTACTACCATCACCTCCACCACTACCACTACTAAAATCACCTTTACCTCCACCACCACCGCTACCACTACTACCATCACATCCACCCTCAATCCACCACCGCTTCCACCACAACCACTTTTACCATCACCTTCACCTTCACCTCTACCACCACTACCACCAAAACTAGCACCACTATCTCTACTACCATCCCCTCTACCACTACCACCACCATTACCATCACCACCACCACAACCACCACCACCACCACCACCTCCACCACCACCACCACCACCACTACTATCATCGTCTCCACCTACACCCCACCGCTTTCATTAGTACCATCACCTCCACCTCCTCTACCACCACCAACCCCACCTCTACCACTTCTACCACTGCCACTTCTACTACTACCACCACCACCACTACCACTACCACTACTCACACAGAGATGCAGTTCAAGATAGTACTGGAGGGGCCAGAGGATCCATCACACTTCGGCTTCAAGATCAACAACGATCATAGGTAAGATGATCCAAACACCTTCTTAATATAGCATTAAAGAATTGATATCAAATATACAAATATCAATATATCTAGTGCCAAACGAAAACAACAATAACAACAACAACAACATTGACAACATGAACAAGAACAATAACAATGAAAAAACATGTATACAAATACTTACATGTACACGAGCCCAGGTGACCTAATATTCTTGCGCTTCCACCTCTAAACCATTAGTTATTTTGGAAATAATGGAAGTATTTTTGTGGTTTTAACTTTAAATATAAATTATCATGAGATTGTGTGAGACAGAGGAGGGTGATTGATTTTATTTCGTACTAGTTACAAAAATATGTACTACGTAAAATTTCAAGAGAAATGTTTGTGAAATCGAAAAATCAATAAAACTGCTATATGAGAGGTGTGAATGAGGGGTCAGGAGCTATGATTCAACTCCTTCCTAACACAACTGAGTACATGTGTACTTGTGTACTTCACAAATGGTGGTACAGAAGATACGGTATCCACCTAGTTCTTACTACATAAACGATACGTGGAAATCCTACAACTGGAGAAAGAGGAGAGAGGTAGAGGTAGTTGAGGAGTGGACGACACCCGCTGTGACAAGGCCAGATTTCTTGAGTATGTTGCGGGGATGGGAGCGTATATGTTGGGGTTGTTTAATAAATCTTGCATCTTACTAACGTAGTCTGTATTGTTGAGGATGACCACTCAGTAAGACCTGCAGCATACTCAGGAAATCAGAAGAAGGCAAAAAGCTCGTCCCTACCAGCCACAAATCAGCAAGGCTTTATGGTTTACCGAAGACCCATAAACCAAATGTACCTATGAGACCTAATATATCTGGAATCAGCAGCGCCCCACACAGCCTGACAGGAGTTTTGGGAAAATATTTATCTAAACTCCTGGGTACAATTAGTCAGGCTCACCTGAAGCATTCGGGTGACCTCCTTAACCGTGTCAGGGATCTCGACATGAGTGATAAGAAACTTGCAGGTTTCGACGTGACTGCCTATTCACCAATGTCCCAGTTGATGAAGCTATGATCTTCTTTGCAGGGTGTTTAACGATGATACAGAGTTAAGCGTACCCTGCCAAGATTTTGCGAGGCTTGTCAAACTTTGTGTTCGTTATAACTGCTTTAGGTTTGAAGACAAGAAGTATAAACAACTCTTCCGGCTAGCCATGGGATCACCCCTTAGTACTAAGCAGTACTTGGCAGTTTATATATGGAAGACCTAGAATCCAGACGGATCCTCAGTAACATCCCTAGGTCAGTTACATGGATACAGTACGTTGATGATATTTTGGTCATTGTACCCAAAAATCTAGACGTACGTGGCATCCTCAACACCATCAACAAGATGCCCTCCTTTGAGCAACTTTTAAGGAGGAACTGAGGGTAGCGAAGATAGAGGTACGGTCATTGAAGGATGAAAACAAGAGGATTCGTAGTAGTCCTCCTGTTGTGAGTCCTCAGGTCAAGAAGAGAACCTGGGCAGTGGCCGGTCAGCATGGAACGAAGTTGAAGATCAAGAAGACGAATGGAGAGGTAGAAACGATGAATAAGAAACATACTGCTGTGGAAACTGTTGTGGAAATATGGAGTGCATTCTTGCATTCTCCATGCTACCCGGCGAATGTGAGTCAACTACTGGGAACGCCACGACGAACGACACCAAGGAAGGTAAAAATATTGTTGTTGTTGGGGATAGCCAGGTTAGGTACATGAATAGGGCCTTCTGCTTGAAGGATAGGAGTAGGAGACAGAGGGTTTGCTTTCCTGAGGCTAGGATGGAGAATACTGTTAGCCGGCATGACAACATCATGAATGGTTATGGGATCAATCCTATTATCTGCCTCAGCGCTGGAGGCAATGATGTAGGCAAGCATAGAAGTGAGGATTTAGTTAGAAGGTACAGGACAGCAATAGACATAATTAGGAAGAGGAGGGGGCGCTCTGTTATATGTGGCATTTTGCCAAGAAGAGGTGTTGGAAATAAATGGTTGTCCAGAGCAATTGGTATTAACTCTTGGCTGGACGAACACTGTAAGGATAATACAGTACCATTCATTGACAACTGGGACCACTTCTATGGCCGAAATGACATGTATGCCAGGGATGGGGTTCACTTACCCAGAGTATGTGTAGGATTTCCTGCTAGCTCAGTTGAGGATGTTGTTAGGGCTTTAAACTAGGATTAGTTAGAGATATGGGTTTAGAAATGGAAAATAAAGAGTATCGTAATATTGATTTAGGCTTTGATATCATAAATCTTAACAATAACAAGGAAAGTAATAGGTATAGTGGAAAAACAGTAATGAACAGGAAGGGTAAAGAAAAAGGAGGGTCTGTAAATATATTTTACACTAATAGTCGTAGTGCTAGGAATAAGATGGACGAGTTGAGATTAGTTGTAGTGCAGGTAACACTGAAGTTTTTCCCATAATTGAGACTTGGTTTAATTCGAATAATCGGGACATGCCTGCTGAATATCACATTCAGGGTTTTAAATTGTTCCAAGTAAATAGAAGTATCGGGAAGGGGGGTGGGGTGGCACTGTGTCCGAGATCGATTGAACTGTTGCATAAAAATGGGTATGAAGTCTGAAATAACACATACAGAGTCTGTGTGCATAGAATTTTCGGAAGGGTATGAAATATTGATTTTAGGAGTGATATACAGTCCCCCAAACTTAGATAGGGACCAAGGGAGATTATTATGGGAGGAAATTGTTAAGGCCACAAGACACGATAATGTGGTAATTCTAGGAGACTTTAACTTTAGCCAGATTGATTGGAATTTCTTGACTGGGAATTTAGAATCTAACGACTTCTTAGAAGTAGTTCAAGATTGTTTTTTGAAGCAGTTTGTGACAGAGCCTACAAGGGGAAATAACCTGCTTGACTTGGTTCTGGCAAACATGGAATCACTTGTTAATGATTTAGAAATTACGGAGGAACTCGGCACAAGCGACCACAAATCAATTACCTTTAGCAGTGAATGTAAGTATGATAGTAGGAATAACTCAGTAACGGTCCCAGATTATCGCTTAGCAGATTACAATGAGCTTAGAGAACACTTATCATCTGTGGACTGGGGTAACAAAGTGAGATATGAATATGACAGCTTCCTTAACACTATACATGCTGCCCAAAGAACATTTATCCCGTATAAAGAAATTAGATCAAATAGACCCAAAATGGATGAATAATAGGCTCAAATATCTTTTAGGGTAGAAGAAAGGAATTTATAGGCTCATTAAAAGAGATGAGGGTCATCTTATGGATCAGTACATTGACATTAAGAGGGACGTTAAAAAAGAAATACGAAAAGCTTAACGGGACTATGAAATTAAAGTTGCTAGGGATTCGAAAACTAACCCAAAAGGTTTTTTCCAGATTTATAGAACAAAAGTTAGAGATAAGATAGATCCCTTTAAAAATAACTCTGGGCATCTTACTGACAAGGAGAATGATATGTACTCGATTTTAAATAATTATTTTATCTGGGTTTTCACACAGGAAGACACTAACAATATCCCGGTAATTAATTTTGATAGCGGACCTGAAGAAGATAAATTATGTAACATCACAGTCACTAGTGAAATGGTTATGAAATAAATAGACCGAGTGAAGCAAAATAAGTCGCCGGGTCCTGATGAGCTTTTTTCAAGGGTTCTTAAGGAATGCAAAATAGAACTCTGTGAACCTTTAACTAATATTTTTTAATTTATCTCTTCAAACAAGTGTAGTGTCTAATATGTGGAAGATGGCTGCCGCCGCCTCCGCCGCCGCCGCCGCCGCCGCCGCCGCCGCCACAGTTCTAGCACTTATAAGTTAAATAATGTAGAACTTAGCCATACAGATTGCGAAAAGGACTCGGCGGCGGCGGCGGCGACGGCGACGGCGGCGGCGGCGGCGGCAGCAGCGGCAGCAGCGGCAGCAGCACCAGCAGCAGCACCAGCAGCAGCACCACCAGCACCAGCACCACCAGCAGGAGCACCACCAGCAGCAGCACCAGCAGCAGCACCAGCACCAGCAGCACCAGCAGCATCAGCAGCAGCACCAGCAGCAGCACCAGCACCGGCAGCACCAGCAGCACCAGCAACAGCAGCAGCAGCAGCAGCAGCAGCACCAGCAGCAGCAGCACCAGCACCAGCAGCAGCACCAGCAGCAGCACCAGCAGCAGCACCAGCACCAGCAGATGTATCACCAGCAGATGTATCACAAGGTGATCACCACAAGACACCATAAACAGAGAGAAATGATGTAAAAATGGCAAGAACCCTTAATGAGATGAGCACGGCAGTCAACACTGTAGAGATTTTGAACAGGGATGCCGTGATATTAGGGGGTGAGCAAGGCTTCATATCATGGCGAAGGTAACGGTAGGCTAGATTAAATCCACGACTTTTTAACAAAATCTGCAGCACATGTGATCCCTCGTAGCTCCCCTGGCTCAGGCAAAACACGCAGGCGACGGGGTTACTTATATGACAACTGGTTCCTTCACTCGATAAGCTGAAGCCTTTAAAAGACGGTAAAAGACGGCTGACAGATAGAAGACTAACGTTAAGTTAAAACTGGTTCCATATAGCAAGACAAATCACAGCTGTTAAAATATAAGACAATAATAATATTACAGAAGCACAAATACGTACGATCGTCAGAAAGAGCTGGCTGGGTAGCTGACGATGCTCATTTACAAACGTCATCTATGTATATCCCAAGGAGAAAATTGTGACATGAAGCAGATAGGCGGTGCTGGTGTCTGCATTCCTCTGTCACAATCGCTTCAGACATCCAAACGACCAACACCACGGTCATACAAACATTCACACAACAATATTTACAACTGCAATGAACTTTTTCCCCCTCACAATATTGTATATATATATTTATTTAAATTCTGGCTATACTGTTGCAGGTACATAACAAATCGTGTGGTGAACTTTAAAGGCAGTAATAACCCGTGGTCTTTGCAAGTATTCTTCAAGGTAAGCATCTCTATCTGTTTATCTTTCTTTTTCTCTTTCTCTAAAAAGATGATTTTAGGACCTCCTGTTTGCTAATTCCTTGTGTGTATTTTCCTACTACTTGAACCGATGTTCCTGGTATCTGTCAGAAAGAGTTCGATCATTTACTTCTTTATTCAGTTACTATTTTTTTTTTTGTAAATGTTTATACATGTATTTGGATTCTTTATTTATTTCTACAAATCTGAAACTTACACTCCTCTCTATATAAACATTGAGAGACCTATATGTATGTATATATAAAGAGAGTTACACAACACTTGGTTACATTACACTGAGAAATACACATCTCAGGAAAGACTTGCTCTGTTTCCTGACGAACCTTACCAAACCTAACCTAATGCAGAGAATTCGTAGTTTGGAAATTAGGAGGGGGTGCGGGATTACCACAACTATTATCCAGTGGGCTGAGGAGGAGTTGCTGAGGTGGATCGGACATGTAGAGAGGCTGGAACAAAATAGAATAGCTTCAAGAGTGTATAAATCTGTAGTGAAATGAAGGCGGGGTAGAGGTCGGCCTAGGAACGGTTGGAGGGAGGGGGTAAAGGAGGTTTTGTGTGCGAATGACTTGGACTTCCAGCAAGTATGCTTGAGCATGTTAGATAGGAGCAAATGGAGATAAATGGATTTTAGGACTTAATGTGCTGGTGGAGAGTGAGCAGAGTAATATTTATGAAAGGATTCAGAGAAACCGGCAGGTCGGACTTGAGTCCTGGAGATTGGAAGTACAGTGCCTGCTCTCTGAAGGAAAGGTGTTAATGTTGCTGTTTTATAACTGTAGTGTAAGCACCCCTCTGGCAAGACAGTGATGGAGTGAATCATGGTGAAACTTTTTTTTTCGGGCCACCCTGTCATGGTGGGAGACGGCCGATGTGTTAATAAATAATATGTAAATATATATATCTATATATATATATATAGATATATATATATATAACTATATATATATATTATATAATAGATATATATATATATCTATGTCGTGCCGAATAAGCAGAACTTTGCGACTTTGGCTTTAATAGCAAACGCTCATCTTGCCATATAAGGCAGTGAAAAATTTGGGTATGCAATAATATCGCTAAAATCATTCGAACCTAACGAAAAATATATATTTGCTTGTGTTAGTTTTAATAATAAATTACTGTAAACAAATCTAAAATATATTTAGTTGGGGTTAGGCTAAAATAAAATTGTTCTTGTTATAATAAAGTATAGTAAGTTTTCAAAGTTCCCCTTTTGGTGCAAAATTATAAATAGGGGTTGGGGTCGCGAACGAGAGGGGGCGCGGGGGTGTGGCGAGAGGGTGCGCGAAAAGAGGTAGAGAATGCATAGGGAGGGAGACGTATAAAAGAAAATTCAGAAAGGACTTAATTTTAAATGAGTTTATTGCTAATTGACCATTTTAAACATATTCGGCACGACAAATATTATAAAAATAATATAATATTAATAAATGTATATATCATTATATAATATATATAATATATATATATATATATATATATATATATAAATATATATTAAATATATATGCAAAACAAAACCACGCCCTGAAAGAATAGAGAAAATCCAAGCGCTTCGGTGACTACTCACATTTATCAAGGAACTATGAAAGTAAAGCATCCAAGGAAGCTAAATAAGGGGTCGGCCATACCCTTCACTAATCAGATCCCCCAACGGTTAAACACCTGACCTGACTCCGCCACCGCAACTGAACAGGTTCCCTTTGCACACCCACCAACAAACTAATCTACCAAGAAAATTTAAAAAATTATATATTTGTCCATGTATTATTAAAGTCTTCCCAAATTCTATTTATAATAACGGATCTAATTTATATAAACCAAAGGAAATATTCATATTATTTGTCACAACTGCTTTTTATGAAAAAGTGTCAATATATTCCTGTCGACCATGGACTTTCTGATACTACTTTCTCAACTTTTTGAAAATCAATTGGATGTAAAATCTCTTACAAGAATAAATAGAGCATTGGAATCTTGTCCAGTTTTCTAATGCTATAATTATGTTGTTTTAATCTTAGTCGAGATTTTTACCAGTTTGACCGTAATAAACTTTAAATCGCAAATTTTACAAGGAATCTTATAGACACATCCATCAGCATTTTGGGGAATTTCTTTTCAAAAGTTTTTTTTACTCTAAATCAAGATTTTTGAAACAACTTTAATATTAAAAGTCTTAAGAAGAGAAGGCATATCAACCAAGTTTTTTCATGGTAAGGGAGAACCAAAATTATTTTAATATTAAAGGGGTTGTTTCAAAAATCTGAATACAGTAAAAAAACTTTATATATATAATATATATATATATATATTAAATATATATGATATATATATAAATAATATAGATATAAACACTGATCTCTGGCTGAAGGAGACTCGAACCTCGAACCTAGGACAAGTTACGCAGTGGCTTAACCAATCTACCCACACTGGACCAATACCTTGGCGTGTAAGCATGAGCTACACGTTTGATCCCAAGCAGGCCAGCTTTCAAGGGAGAAGGCTTACAGCTTTTTCATCTCATCCCCCTGCATGCATCAGCCTTACTAGAGATTTGAACAATGCAAGGAATTCGCGAGAGCATGCGAAATATACCACAACACTGATCTCTGGCTGAAGGAGACTCGAACCTACGAACTTAGGACAAGGTACGCAGTGGGCTTTTAATACCAATCTACCCACACTGACAAATAACCTTGCGTGTAAGCATGAGCTACACGTTTGATCCAAGGCAGCCAGCTTTCAGGGAGAAGGCTTTACACTTTTCATCTCATCTATCCCCTGCATGCATCAGCCATACTAGTAGATTTGAACAATGCAAAGGAAATTCGCAGAGCATTCGAAACTATACACAAACACTGATCTCTTTGGCTGAGGAGACTCGAACCTACGAACCATAGGACAAGGTACGCAGTGCTTTAAAACCAATCTACCCACACTGGACCAATACCCATGGCTGGCGTGTAAGCAGAGATCAGTGTTTGTGTATCTTTCTCATGCTCTCGCGAATTCCTTGCATTGTTCAAATCTCAGTAAGGCTGGGGGGGATTCATGCAGGGATGAATAAAAGCTTTAAGCCTTCTCCCTGAAGCTGCTGCCATGGATCAAACTGTAGCTCATCTACAACGCCAAGGTATTGGTCCCATGTGGGTAGATTGGTAAAGCACGCGTACCTTGTCTTAAGTTTCGAAGTTCGTCTCCTTCAAGCCCAGAGATCAGTGTTTTGTGTTAATTCGCAATGCTCTCTGCGAAATTCCTTGCATTGTTTCAAGATCTCTAGTAAGGCTGATGCATGCAGGGATGAGATAAAAAGCTGTAAGCTTCTCCCTGAAAGCTGGCTGCCTTGGGAGCAAACGTGGTAGCTCATGCTACACGCCAAGGTATTGGTCCAGTGTGGGTCAATTGGTAAAGCACTGCGTACCTTGTCCTAAGGTTCGTAGTTCGAGTCTCCTTCAGCCCAGAGATCAGTGATTTGAGTAATATTTCGCATGCTCTCTGCGAATTCCTTGTCATGTTCAAATCTCTATAAGGCTGATGCATGCAGGGGTTGATAAGAAAAGCTGTAAGCCTTCCCTCCCTGAAAGCTGGCCTGCCTTGGATCAACTGTAGCTCATGCTACACCCAAGGTAATTGGTCCAGTGTGGGTAGATTGGTAAACACTGCGTACCTGTTCCTGAAGGTTCGTAGGTTCGAGTCTCCTTCAGCCAGAGATCTGTGTTTGTGTATAATTCGCATGCTCTCGCGAAATTCCTTGCATATAATATATACTATATATAAATATATATATATATATATATAAATATATATAATATATATATATATGTCGTGCCGAATAGGCAGAATTTGCGATCTTGGCTTAATAGCAAACGTTCAATCTTGCCATATAGGAACAAGTGAAAATTTGTGTATGCAATAATATCGCCAAAATCATTCTGAACCTAACGAAAAAAATATATTCAACGTGTATTGTTTAGATTAAATTACGTAAACAAATCTAAAATATAATTAGTTGGGTTAGGCTAAAAATAAATTGCTCTTGTTAAAATAAGGTTTAGGTAATTTTTCTAAGACTTTTGTGCAAAATTAAAATATTTTTACATTAACCTTAATGAAAAAATTATATTTTAAACGTATAAGAAGAAAATTTTAGAAAGGACGTAATTTTACAATGAGTTAGCTAATTGACCAGTTTTTACATATTCGGACTAGAACATAAATATATATACAGATATATGTATATATATATATATATATAGAATATATATATATTATATATATAAATATAGTAATATAAATATATATATAAATATAGGAATATTATATAATATATATATATATATATATATAATATATATCTATATATATAAAGATATATATAGAATATATATTATATACATATAACTATATTATATATATATATATATATATATTATATATAAATAAAAATATATATTATAATATTAATATATATATATAATAAATATAAATATATATATATATATATATTTATATATATATATATTATATATATATAATATATATAACAAATATATATATATCTTCTTTCAACGCAACGGTCGTATCCCACTGAGGCAGGGGGTGGCTCAAAAGGAAATAGGAAACTTTCTCCTCTTAAATTTAGTAATATATACTGGAGGAGGGGTTACTAACCCCTTGCTCCCGGCATCTTAGTCGCCTCTTGTAACACGCATGACTTTCTGAGGAAGAAATCTGTTCCACTTTCCCATGGAGATAAGTGGAAATAAACAAGAACAAGAACTAGTAAGAAAAATAGAATAGAACTCGTAAGGATGAGTTTATATATGCTTGTACATGCATATGTAGTATGACCTATATGTAATATAAAAGTAACATATATAATCCATAGTTACTACAAGTATACATATACAAGGTATACAGTCCTAGCTGACATCAGTG